TTGGCGGCTAGCCGCCCGGCAACGAGCTTCAGATCGAGGTGTTCTGTTAGGTGCGGCAACGAGCTTCAGTTTCTTGGAGCGCCATTGCTAGGCCTAAATGGTTCTTCATTCCTTCATTCCTCCATCCTGTTCCTCCACAGTGTCGAGATTGGTAAGGACTCTCGTGGGTGGACAGCCCTTTTCTATGCCGCTGAGCAGGGCAAACAGGAGTGAGACGGGGGCTGGGTGGGGGTGGTCCCACTGCGATGGCCTCGATATCAAGGGGTGTTAGAATGTTCAGTCTCCCTTCGGTGTCGCATTTCGTTTCGCCTTGCCTTCGCCCAACGGCTAGGAGGTGGTCAAGTATCTCCTGCGCAAGCACGCCAGCCCCCAAGCATCCACTCAAGAAGGCCCCGACTTGGGATGGTCTTCGTCCGGGCGTGGTGAGGACATGTGAGGTTGATCGAGTGTAGGATGTTTTCAAAAAAAAACCTTACCGTCCACATGGAAGGATGGACACTCAACAGTTTCACTCATGGTGTTGGAAGGCGGCTGCAGTGGCAAAAGTGCCAACCCTTCTCCTTGTAACCTCACCTTTTGGATGTCTCTTTGAGAAAACAAGCTATTTTTGAGAAAAAACAACTGCAGCATATAATTTGTGTGTTTTTCTAATTTTCTTTCTTCTAGACCTTGACCTTTCTTCCTTGACTATGAGGCATGCCAGGCATACATTTTGGGACCTTCCAGGAGACCTCTGGCATTCCTCTCGTCAACGCCGGATGGGTCCGTCACCATGGTCGCTCCGTCACCATTCGCCTCTTTGAGGCGTCAGCTCGCTGATGGTCGCCTGCGTGCGGGGCAATACCATGGCAGCGAAGCAGCTCATCAGGCGAGAACGGGACAACCGGCGAGGCACGAAACCGATTCGTAGCGATTAGGAACAAGTGCATCGCTTCTAGTAACAAGTGCCTTACTAGTAGTAACAATGTTTGCTATTAGAAACAAGTGCATCGCTACTAGTACTAGTAAGGCCAGGAGCACCCCGAACGTAGCGTCCCTGCTCCTAGTAATGCCCTTTGCTCCGTTTGTAGCTTCTAGCTAGAAGCTTTTCGTTTCAATCGTGATCGGAGAAAGAAAAGGAGGGGAGCCAAGCCACAAGGTGTTTCTAATAGCTTCTTAGTTACTACTAGTAAGGCACTTGTTACTACTAGCAAAGGTGTTCGAGATGGTTTCGAGTTCGAGTCATGAAGGGTCGCGTCATTGTGAAGTCTTCATTTTTGAGGCAGTTTTCGCAGGTCGAACATTTACGTATATCTTCGTGGCAGTTCAACCAACTCCTCTTTGCCTGGTAGTGATGGATGCTACGAACGGGGCTCCTGGCCTTGCTACTAGGAGCAGGGATGATGAACTGCAAACAGTTATCATTGGAAGTTCTGGGCAGTGGGATGCCCCACATGGCTCGTGAGTAGTATTAGTAGTCAACACTACCAGGAGTTCAACCACAAAAAGACCGTTTTTGAACCCCCGTTGGTAGCTTATGATAAGCTTATGCTTTCCCAGATTCCTTTCATTGGCTAGAGGTGTAGGGGCTTCTGTTGGCACCTTTGGGAGGCACTGCCAAGGCTTCATGAAGGCTTCCTAAGACGCTACTAGGGACTAGCTTCCTGTCTGTGAGGCGCCGATGCGAGGTGAACCAGGTCGAGCAGAGCGGGCCCGGAGACGAAGACAGGGGCGACGCCGCGCGCCGCGAGTCCTGGCGGTCGTCCCTTCTTTTTCAGAGACGGTGCCAACACATTTTCTATCGAAGATCACCCTGAAACCGCCAAAATCCACATGAATCTTCGCACTCAAGCAGAACACATCAGCCTGCACCTTCTCAGGAACTCCGCGCTCATGCTCGCCTTGGCAGCAGTGCCTCGCCGAGCTGGAAGGGGCCAAGAAGCACTGGAAGCAACATTCGGATAGAGCAAAAGGGTCATGTCAGACAAGCCAAGTCCTCGGTCTTCTCGGATTCAACATTACTAGTAACAAGAAGCTACTAGGAACAAAGGTGGGTGCTGGAAGGATACTGTTGGTGTGGCCAGACAGGTTGTCTCAGCCTTTTCTTATTGTAGTTCTTGGACCGATGCCGATTTGGCCAATCAGCCCAGGCACAGCAAGACTTGGTGGCATGGCTCCTGCAGGAAGATGTGGAGGTTGACTTGAGGCCACCATCTGCAGAGGGAGCGTTTGGGGAGGTTCGCAATGGCTGAAGGGCCACGCGGCGCCTTGCGGTGCCTTGCGGCTCCAGCTTGTGGCGCAGGCCTCATCACTACTCTAGTTACTAGGAGCAAGGGTATCGCTACTAGTAACAAAGGGCATTGCTACATATTGCTACTAGGAGCAAGGACGCAACTAGTAGCTCCTGGTCTTACTGCTAGGAACAAGAAGCTACTAGGAGTAAGGGCATCGCTACATGAAACAGTGGCAACCTCCAGTGGTAGATGTAAAACATGTGGACACCTGCCTCCGTCAAACTAAGATGACAAGGATCAAGAGGTGTCTCAAGCCCTCCAGGTCATATCGGGCATGTGGGTTCGAAGTGGAACGGCGACACATGGTTTGTCTGAGTCCCGTTTGTCTGGCGTGCCAGCAACGAGATGGGCGAGACGGCTTGCGAGATTGCAGCGCAGCAGGGTTTCAACTCCTTGTGCCGTGGCGAAGGATGCGGCCTCCTACCTAGAAGGCCTCCAACCTACTAGCGATGGCCTCCAACCTAACAGCGATGGAAAGGGCGGGAAGACTTATGAGGACGGGACATCTTTACGGAAACACGTCTTTCTTTTCAGGAGGAGTCCCTTTTTGTCCATACTCTATCAACTTGAGAATGGGAGGCCAGCGCTTCTAGGTTTGAGGCCTCCACCGGGGCAGTCCAAACCAGTGAGGCGAGTTGATCATCGACCACGAAAGTTAAGTCGCCCAGAGAGCTTGCAGAGCGGGTTCCCTAAGGCTTCAAGGGTTTGGAGAAAACTGTCGCTTAAGGCTGGAACTCCAGAGGCACCGAGTGGAGAATGACCTTACCTCCATTGGCTGATTCCGGAAAGAGTTTCAGTCTTATATTCAGTTGGGATGTATTCCTTCCACTGGCTTTACCAATACCTCATCCCAAAACCACTGCATGTGGCGATTTGATGGAGGGACCACCTACCCCACCACACTACCAAAGCCTATAGTTTCCTTGCCCAACCGCTTCTCAAAACCCACAAGAAACGCGTGGGCGACCGTTTGGCCCGTGCTCCCACCGTTGCCCTCGAGGAAGAGCACCATTCTGATGATTTCCCGGCGCCGGGAGGAGCAACGCCGTAAGGAGCAACTCTGGTTGGCTGCGCAGGCTCCGTCCGTAGCGATGCCCTTCGTTCCGTTCCGTAGTAAGGCCAGGAGCCGTTCGTAGCGTCCTTGTTACTACTAAGGCACTTGTTCCTAGAAGCGATGCACTTGTTCCTAGTAGCTTCTTGTTACTATCTGTAAGGCCAGGAGCCCCGTTCGTAGCATCTGATCGCTCCGTTCGTAGCGATGCCCTTTGTTCCGTTTGTAGCGTCCAGGCTCTGGATGAGGATGCTGGTTAGCCAGGCCGCGGCCGGCCCACGGGGTTCTTCCAAGTGATTCTAAGAGGGATGGGAGTTGCCGTCTTCCCTAATGGATTCTTGAGTTTTTGGAAGACGGCAACTACAGCATTACATTCCACAAGGCACTTGGGGAGTTTCGGAGAATCCCCTCAGAGTCTCAAAGACCATTTATTGATGTCCACGTCTTTTTCTTGGGTGATGGCTTTCCATGTTTCCATTCGGCGATCGTTGAGAGTTCAATTGACGTGTTATGTCGTGGAAGGTTTGGCCCCTGATCTTGAGTCATGTTGAAGCAATGCTGGCCAGGTTGTTTCTATGAGCTACGCAGCCTTAGGCAGTCGGGCACCTATATAATGAGTCAACAAATCAGGAGAGGCAAGTCGAATTCAACACTATGCTCTACTCTAGGGATCACAGTCACTGAAAAATGCTTCGATAGAAGCTGATGAAGCTGATATTGAAGCAGTGTGCGGAACATGTTTGGAGCTGAGGCGGCCGTTGAAACGTGATGCTGAAGGGAGACCTTCTTGGACGTGGGAGGATGCGACTGCGCTAGGTAGGGCTGGCAACTTGGAGTAGCGCGCTCTGTCGAAGAGATTGTGGTACAGGTGCAGAGAAAAGGGCAACGATGCAAAAGAACCTCTCGGCGTGCTTTGAATGCTGCCATCGCTCTTAGGGTGGAGGCCGCTGAGAGTTGGGAGCTCGACCCGAAGCATGGCCTGTGCCACTTGTGCGCTTTCATGCTGTCGGAGGATATGAGCCCCCTAGAGGCTGTGAGACCTTTTGAAGGTGCCGGATACAGTTAGCAAATTAGAGCAGCGAGCAACAGGTCGGGAGCAAACATCAAATGGAGCCTGTTGGGAGTGTCTTGACCTGGCTCTTACAACCTACTATGCCATTGCCCATCGCCAAAAAAATAGCGGCACTGCGCACAAGATCTCGATGGGTGTTTTGGTTGTAACTCAAGCGCCTGTTTCATCTTCAGCGCCAACTCCACGGAAAGCACATTGCAAATGTGGAATCTTTTTTTTCCACGATCAGCTTCTTGCGGGGACACTTTGTTTGACTGTACAGCTACCTGCAGCAGGTTTGTGAAGTGAGTGCTGTCCAGGGTTTGGCTTATGCGGCATTTGTGACGTGTAGGCAATCAATAGTTTCTTCAAAAAAACAGGCTAAATGGTGGCCAGCAGCAACATAAGTTTAAGGATGCGGTGCTTTGATTTTCTCCATCAGCCGATATTGCAACGCAGAATAACATTCTTTGCAAATGGAGTCGCAAGGCATCTAAAAAGTCCTGTCGGCAAACATTGCTCTTTGCAAAACCTTGACTGCAGCACAACATTGGTTCGACACAGCGTAAAGATGTCTTTTCTGTTTCTCTCTCTCTCTCTCTGACTCTCTCTCTACTTTGCAGCCATGGAGCTCCTTATGGCAGCCGGGCTTGGGGCCAAAGCAAGGGCCCTGGGTGGTCCGATTTGCGTGTCGGATGACACGATGCATCACTTGACATCTGATGTGAGACAGGATGTCAGTCTTTCACAAACTGAAAGTGGTTTGATCTAGTAGGAACCGAATCATTAAGCTTGAGCCCAGCCTGCGTCCAAGATAGATACTCAACTACTCACCCCCTACTACCGTCTACCCTCTGCCCCATCTACCCTCCTAGGCTACCCCAACCAGTGTTGAGTAGAATAAGACAATGATAAGGGTGAATAAGCCAACTTCCGCAGTCTAGAGCACACACATGCCAGCATACACATGAAAGCTCACATATGAGAGCACACATGAGACAGGACAAGTATGTGAGCAAGCAAGCCACACATAAAAGAGCACACCTCTGAAAACACACATATGCACACAAGCACACATATGTACAGGTGAGAGCACACAGAGGTTCACACGGTGCTGCGCCCACGAAACCGATTCACATCGCGCAGCCAAAGCGATCAGACAACATTAAGAATGCTCCGTTCGTAGCGATGCCAGGAGCCCCGAACGTAGCGAACCTTGTTACTAGAAAGCCCCAAGACGCAGCTTTGGCCCGATATGTCCTCCAAATATTGCACATCGAAGGAAAACGGCTTCGACCCGCTGTGCGAGCACCCTTGATCCCCAGCTTTTTGACCCCACATCGTGTTGCATCGGATCGGCCGATCAGGAGCTCTTCAGTTACAACAGAGAAAATTTCAAGTTCGATCAAGACCAGCGCATTGAGCGCGAGGCCAGTCTTGAGAACCATGGATCCTACCGGACTAAGTTCGCTGGTCTTGCGATCTTCACGTTGAAAGCTTGGGAGGCTTTGCGATTGGAGATGCAAGTGAAGCGGTTCGAACTTTTCAGAGAGGCTGTAGAGCCAAAGTGTCTTTCCTTGTCTCTGGCATCCTCTGGCATATTTGCATCCGATGTGAAAAGGATGTGCGAGATTTGGTGGAGCTTACGGTGGACCGGATGGACGTTTATCACTTGGTGCCTTGGCGTCCAAGTAGCGTCCCTGCTCCTAGTTGTAAGGCCAGGAGCCCCTAGTAGCATTCTTGCTCCTAGTAGCGATGCCAGGAGCCCCTTGTAGCATTCTTGTTCCTAGTAGTAATGCCCTTTGCCTGCTACTTTGCATGTTTGCTTTGGAATGCATTGGAATGCCTCGAAGGGCCCTGGCTCCCTCACGGCTCCTTGCTAAGGTGGGAGCACTGTTCTTGGAGTTTTGCATTGTCCTTTTTTGTGAAGGGCGAGTGCAGGCGGCAGCAATGCTGTGTTCGATCTTTGTCCTTTTCTGTATTCTGCAACAGCCCAACGAAATTGGCCTCAGAACAAGAAGCTACTAGGGGCTCCTGGCCTTACTACTAGGAACAAGGACGCTACTAGGAGCAAAGGGCATCGCTACTAGGAGCGATCGGAAGCTACTAGGGGCTCCTGGCAATTCATGTGGCCTCAGGTAGTTCAGATAACCGTCCAACGGGTATAGAGGCAGTGTAATTATTCTACACCTTCCACACGTTGTTTATACCATTATGGCAGTGTTTTGGGGACCAGCCTAGTTCAGAGGTTTAGTATGTCTTAGTAACGAAGCTTTCTAGTGACTAGAAGCTACTAGGTGGAGGCCATCGCTCTACTTTTCACTTTTTCTGGTTCGATTGAGCTGTGGCTGTGGAACCGAAGCTGCATGTTCAGCTGAAGTGTACTGGCGAACCACCGCTTGTTGAAACCTGCGAGGCTTCAGCGCCCCCATTCTTGCTATCTTTGTTCTTGCTGTCCAATGCGTGCGCCTTCATCTACCTGTTGTTGGCGGTCTGGCTCAGCATGCATGCGCCCGACCCAGTTCGTTTGTTTTGCTTGTTGAAAACAGGGGAACCATGCATGCGCCTGTCTTTGTGAGGCCTCCATTGCATCACACAGCTTTGGTGTCCGCTTGTGGAATTCTCAGCTTTTACGAGTTTTCTTTCAGTTTCTTTCAGTCTTTAAAGATGCTGAAGCTAAACGAGGAACGACACGCATTTCATGTTTGAGCAGCGAAGCATCGGAAGGCTTACGAGATTTGTGCGCTTGCCAATCCCTAGCATGAAGCAAATAGCAGGCCTCAGGACACTCAAAGAGTTCAGAGCAAGAAATGGTGTTCCTCACATGAAAGCACGACCTCAACGCAGCCCGTGGTTTCTTGCTTCCAAACGTTTACTGTGCTTTTGTGAGCAAAGTGGGGTTCGAACAGCTTGAAGCATCAGTGTTCTGACAAGCAGCTATCATTTCATCCTACCGTGGTTGAGTGGCACAGGGTTCATTGGCACAGTCACAGGGCTCTCCGTTTCAGGTGAGTTTGCTTAGTTTTTATTGAGTTTTGTTTTCTGCACTTTCTTTTGGCCTTTCCCAAATTTCCCGCTTACCTTCTCAAGATCTTCAAGCACAAAATATTCAATGATTTCACACATGTAGCTATTTCCTTCGATGCAGATAGCCTATGGCACACGCATGACAACAACAGGATTCACAAATTCCTCGGGGATTGGAAGGTTTCTTTGGAGTTGTCATGGACAACATCTTTAACCTAATAGCGATGGCCTCCAACCTAATAGCGATGCTCCACCCTACTGGACATGGCCTCCAACCTAATAGCGATGGCCTCCACCCTATCAGCGTCTTGAGATCAGAGCGAGTTGGGTTTTGCAGCTGGGCAGAAAAGGTCATATTTGGCAATGGCAAACTTGCGCTGGTGGACCCTGCAACTTCTGAACATTTCCATCGTATACTTCACTTACATGTATCCGATCAAATTCACCTTCTTTGTGATCACGTTTTGTGTCACTGGTATCATGCTGCTCACACAGCGCAAAGCCATCGAGAGCTGGTATCTAGCAGCAGTGAAGGCTGAGGCTCACATCGGCCCTGGTGACGCTATCACCACTGCCCAAAGGGAAACCGGGGATATTGTAAAGGTCGAGTGGTTTACTTCGCAGATCAAAGGATCTGTGGGAATCTTTCTTCGCGCTCGACACTCCTTTCTGGTGGTCGAAATTCTTTGCAACTGTCCTTCTATCAGTGGAACGCCTCTGAAAAGACATTATGTCCTCGAGAAGTCTGCACAAGAAGATGCCTGGAACGGGATCAGGGTGTCTCATGCTTCGCATTTGCCAAAAGATTGGAGAGACCCCAGCTCCAGTGTTGGCATCAAGCAACACTGCTGCTTAAACAAACACGACATCTACCGAGAGCGTCAGTTGACGCCCCGCCTAAGTACGCTCATCCACCGGATGAGCGCCACCGGTGAATATGACCTGGGAATGGCAAATTGTCATCATGCGGCCCAGGTAGCTTACAATTTGTGTGTGAAAGACAGAGCAAGTTCAGTGGAGGAAATTCCAAATGCCTCTCTGGTTGGTGCTGTTGCCATGCTTGGGGTTGGCAAGCAGAAGCTTTCGCAGTCAAGTTCTGTTTCGTTGGAAAGGCAGGACCCAGAGGAGTCCACAGTGAAGCCAGGACGACAGGAGCATTTTCACAGCCATCATCCGAGCACGTGGTGCATCACGCCAAAACAATTGTATGAGCTTCTACGATTGCTGATCAAGTTGTTGTTATTTGTGTGTGTTTTTTTTAAAACATTTTTGGCTAGCTAGTATATAGACTTAGGATATGTTCTACTTTTTTACTAACATTTGTGCAATTTTGTGCACCAAATCCTAGGCTAGAAGGTTTGGTGGAGCAGACATGGCCAGGAGAACAAGATCCCAGCACGCGTCATGTGGTACGAGACTTCATCGTTCCGAAAACGGAGAAGAGCGGCCTATCGTACGCTCTTCAGAAAAATGTACATGGCATGCCCATCAAATACTTTGTTTCCCAGGCTTGGGACTATTCAACAAAAAGGCTCATCAAAGCGATTGACAAAGTCTTCCGTGCAAAAGGTGAAGGGAATGTGTGGATTTGTTTTTTTGGCGAATCCTCAATGGGACTATGAAGAGTTGTCTCAGCTTCTGGGCGATCATGTCTTTTATTCTCCATTTGCCAAAGCCATCTCCCATGCAGAGGCCATGATTGTTGTCCGTGACGCGGAACTCAATCTATATGAACGCCTTTGGTGTGTGCTGGAACTTGCACTGGCAAAGTACTGGGACAAGACGATCTTTGTGGTTGGAGAACCCCCTAGCCGTATTGAAGAGGCTAATATGGGAGTCAATGGGTGGTGCTTTGACTCACGTGATAAGAGGGCCATTCTCTCCATGCTCCGTGCACTTCCATTGCTAAGTCCAGATGGCACATCAAAAAGTCCAGATGAGATCATAAACATGATGTGCATGAAGGCCCTTCAGGAACGATCCATCCAGGAGCGACCAGCATCCCATTTTTCGCCAGTCTTCTGGATAAAGCGCTCATTTGCTTCAGCTGACAACGGCAGGCCTTAAGGAAGTTGGACACCTGGGTGCCAGCTACAGATCAATGAAGGGAACTTCAACATCACACATGCTTGGTGTCTCTTGGTGTGCTGGTATGTCCTAGCCTTTCCCTGGAAGAATGTTGATGTTGCTCAATCGTTGATGGCCTCGCCCTGAAGTCACCAAGCCATGGTGACGGATCTTGTAATCTTGTGCAGCACGCGCCAGAACACAAAATTCTTAAGGCGCGACCTTGTTGCTGGCCTGAATGCAGATGCCTGTGCAGGGTTGACCCACACCTGCTACCTAGCACAACTGCAATCATGTCGGAGTGCTGTCAAGTGTTGTGTGCTTGCGCCGGTGAAGCGGCTGTTCAGTTGCTGACGTAGTCATGGTGCATTTTTAATGATAGTGAAGGGGTATTTGCTGTTGCTGGTGAGAAGGTATTTTGCTCGTGCAGTACTCCGTTCTTAGCGCTGGCTATGTGGAAGTTACAGGTTTTCATTTTACTCTTGGTGCAGTCCCCTTTTACTGCTTGAGAGGCAATACGGCTCGCGCGAAGAAGCGTTAGCACCATCTTCAGTCGTCACACATGCTAACTTCCATGCAGTCACACATCAACTGCATCTCACATTGTGGCTACGACATCACACCATGCTTCGTCCCTTCTTTTTCTTCATGCAGGAGCACGCTCAAAGACTATGAGCGGCAGGGTGTCGCCAATTTGCTGCGCTTGCCTTTCCAGGACTGATCGACAAATGCGCAGCTTGAGCGTTCTGTGATGCGTTTGTGCAGGACGTTTTTCTGCTTACCTGGTGCATTTTTGAGCCGGAACAATTACATGTTACATTCTTCCAGGATCAGCAGGAATGGCAGCAGGTGGAGCTCCGTCAACGCCATGAAACATGCAAGACTTGCATTCCGACCTACTAGCGATGGCCTCCACCCTCTGGCAAACGGAACTGATGTCATAAGACCTTCTTCGATACTGTGCTGAATTGTTGTTTTTGCGTGCTCCCTGCATGTTTCCTTGCGTGCCAGGTGCATGGGGTGGATGGGGAATCCAAAGCACCGAATCTTATCTGAACAAGGAAGCTACGTTCGGGGCTCCTGGCCATACTACTAGGAGCAAGGACGCTACTAGGGGCTCCTGGCATCGCTACTAGGAGCAAGAAGGCTACTAGGAGCTACTATCGCTACTAGAATCCATCTCTTTTTCAGTTGAAATGACGTGACTCAATGACTAGAAATTTGTATCACTTTGGAAGCAACACTCCTGACGAATTAACGCACGTGCGAGTCTCTTTGGAAGCGTTTGGAGTCATGTTGAAGCTGGTCTTGGGGAGCCAGCAGATAAGCTTTGCTAAGATCACAAGCTTCTTCTCCAGCATTTTCTCATACACTCTATCATAGGATCTTTCATTGCCCAAAACCGACCATAGGGTCTAGAGTCTACACCAGGGAAAGTGAACCCCTTATCAGAAGGACTTCTAATGTAACAGAACTTGTGACAACATCTTGTGACACATGTTTCATGTCTTTGATCTTCCATGTCTTTGTCATGCGTCAATCTTGTGACCGGGAGAAAACCAACATCTCTGGATGCATGGTTCCACAAATCCAGCCAACTTATGAAGTCGAAATTACAATTTTTCTGCCCACCAGGCTAGGATATCATAGGACCTATCCTAGCCCTATCATAGGGTCTATCCGCCCAATAGTAAGCCTCCTCGTGGCCACCTAGCCCTACAGCAGATGGACAAAGGAATGCTTCTAGGTTGGAGGCCATTCCTATTAGTAACAAGAAGCTACTAGGAGCAAAGGGCATCGCTACTAGGAGCAAAGACGCTACTAGGGGCTCCTGGCCTTACTACTAGGAACAAGAAGGCTACTAGGTTGGAGGCCATTCCTAGGAACCAAGTCATTAGCGTGAGCTTTCCTGCGTCCAGTAGCTAGTAGCTTCCTTTTACTGCCTGCCCCCCCCCCCTCTGGGGCTTTAGAAAAGGCCTTTTTCCTCTATCTCGTTGAAAAGAATTAGCCACATTTCGATGTTGCAGTGACATGGTCTGATTCATTTCTGTCACTTGACAAAGCTCCAAGCCCACTAACATTGACATGTGTCGTGCAGGGGCAGGCGACGGAGGCCTGGGTTTGTATCATTTCTCCACCTATTAGGCCAGGAGCCTCTAGTAGCTTCTGGCTACTAGTAGTAATGCCAGGAGCTACTAGTAGCTTCTTGTTACTAGTAGTAAGATGCCCTGTTACTAGTAGCTTTAAGGTGCCTTGTTACTAGTAGCTTCTTGCTACTAGTAGTAATGCCATCATGCTATCAAAGGCCCTGGTCTAACCCTGTCATCGGGCTCGTCCAAGGACATGTCCTAGCCCTCTCATTAGGGCATTCCAAAGACCTATCCTAGCGCCACCAATTGTCACCTGCCAAACAGAAGAGACTAAACAATGAAGACAACTTAGCATGATGTTCTTTTGATTCCTTTTGATTTATTTTGATTTCCTATTTGTTTCCTTTAGATTTCTGGTTGGTTTCCTTTCAATTCCTTCTGATTCTCTTGTGACTTTCTGCGTTTTTGTTTTTCCTGTTTGGTTTGCGTTTGATGCAACCGACAGGTCTTTTACAATACATTCTAGAATCGGCTCCATTTGTATTGACATTTGAAGGAGCCACCAGCCATGTTTGACCAGTTCGCCACAAAACCTCCCATCAAACAGATGCTCGCTGGAGGAAAATGCGTTGGAGTAGTTTCATAGCACTCTTGAGGAAGAGTACTTTAAATTTTCAGAATTGCACCTGGAGTAGTTTAAAACATTTTTTGCTTTTCTTCACTTTGTCCTTCCCTCTTTCAGGCCCAGCTAAGTCCAGCACCGAAGAGGCAAACAGCATGATTTGACTGGACGACTCCCCAACCATTGCGTTTTCTCCGTCTCCAACAGAATGTTTGTAAAGAGAAAACAAAGCAACAGAACCATCGAACTTTGCCAAGAAAACCACCTGCAATTTGCCACAGAGTAGGTTGAGCAAGCTGCTGAATACGTTCCTTTTACCAAATAGTCTCAGATATCGTGTCACATGATGAGTTCATAGATTTCTAGCTTGTTTCTTGACAATCATTCCAATCACCCGCCTTCTTGTTTGAAGGTTGTTGAGAACTTTATTCAACAGCATGTTCCAAGAGTAGGGCATCCTCTCTCCTAGCCTCACAAGAGCTGCCAGTTCCGGCCCTTTTTTGGGTTATGGGATGACCACCCTTGGGGCCCTGAATTCGTGTCCACCAAGAGGTGATGTACCCGATGCAAAACCCCATGGACATGTGCTCCGATGATGGACATGGAGCCCCTAGTAGCTTTTTGTTCCTGGTAGCTTCCTTGCCCCATGTAGCGATGCCCTTTGCCCCTAGTAGCGTCCGATCGCTCCTAGTAGCGATGCCAGGAGCCCCTAGTAGCGTCCTAGTGCTTGTGAGGATTGATGCAGATTCAAGCGCACAAGTTTCGCAAGCTACTCCCAGCGCACCAAGTTCACTTGGACCCAAGCCGCACACTCAGACACTCACAGGCATCACTGAATCTGGCAGGTACTGATTGATAAAATAGATAAACCAATTTTTGAGGACATGTATTGTTGATTACGATGTATTGAACGGTGAATGACATTCTACTTAGCCAACCAGCTTGCGCTTCGCCCCAAGGCCAGTCAAGGATCTCAACTTTGTGGGCTTTGTGTTTGTCCTTCTGTTTGTCTTTCCGCGGACTTTGTGGTTTGGAATTGGACAGCTATTAGGTTGGAGACCATCTCTTCTAGGTTGGAAGCCATCGCTAG